ACTCTTCACACTCGCAATCTACTCGACAAGCGGATGGGTAGGTAGGTAGCACTCGGGTGGGTGGGCCTGGTCTTCCCTCACCTTGGTTTGCCGAGGTCGTTGTCAGTGGAGGCATGGTCGTCGCTGCTGTTCGTCCGTAGCACATATTGTGCATATCGTGCGCGGTCTTTGGCCGCAGCGCCCCTGCTAGTAGTGTCACGAGCCGCTACTACATTTGCATTGCGCGTGTGGTATTGTGACGCTCGACGATCAGGTTACGCGAATGTGCTGCTGGTGAGCGCGAAGGGAGTGCCGCGGGATTGGCGTAGCAGCAGTGGGGATTCATGTGGCGCCGCGATAGGTAGAGGACGGTGCGAGGAGGCCACTAGAGGCGGTAAAGCGAGCAAAGAGAGAGTGTGAAAAGGCAAAAGATGAGCCCCCAGGCGGGATCGAACCACCGACCTTTCGCTTACGAAGCGAGTGCTCTACCACTGAGCTATAGGGGCTGTACGGACACCAACACACCAACACAAACAAACACACCAACACAAACAAACACACCAACACAAACAAACAACAAACAACAAACACACGCACAACAACAACAACAACAACAACTCGCAACACGCCACGCACCACACGACCCGCACGACCGCACCAACCACCACACATCCACAACAATACCACCAAAAGACACGGGGCAACACCACGCCGAGTCGAATCTTGGGGCCGCAATCTGTTTGCTCATGTGGGCCCTCTTCTGCATGCGATGCTTCCGTCTTATTTTGTATGTTGATCTCGACGAGAGTTCGTGGGCGGTGCTCAGCGTGGCGAGCTCAAACGCTCGTCGTGTCACGCAAAATGGAGCAGCGGGTTCGTTTTGTGCGGCAGGTTGCTGGTGTGGGTCCGGGGTTTGAGCGCGGTGCGTGGGTCTGCGATGTGGCTGGTTTGCGTGTGTTTGCGTGTGTTTGCGTGTGTTTGCGTGTGTTTGCGTGTGTTTGCGTGTGTTTGCGTGTGTTTGCGTGTGTTTGCGTGTGTTTGCGTGTGTTTGTTGTTTTGTGAGTGTGAAAGTCGTTTTGGTGTCGGGGGAATAGCTCAGTGGTAGAGCGCTGGATTCCAGTCCCAGCGGTCGGGGGTTCGATCCCCTCTTCCCTCATCCTTTGCGCTTTTTTAGCGCCCGACGCCCACCTTTTCGCTGCGCCACAGCCCCCTTCGCAGCCGCCACTACTCCCTCGCGCCAATCAACCAGCCAGTAAAACGAACGAGACGACAAAAAGTGCGATACTTCTCGATTTATGCGTGTCATCCTTGCGCAGGGGCCATGCTAATCTTCTCTGTATCGTTCCAATTTTTACGGATGACCACCGAAGTGGTTCCTGCCACTACTCGCGCTAGACTCCTATACGTGCGAGCCTTGGGCCTCACATCCAGAACCACTTCGCCAAAAACGCAAGGCATTCATTCCCCCGACCCGAAGCGGATGCATACAGTAGCAGTCTTCCAGGCAACTGGACACCCAGATAGCCAGCCGACCGGCTGGTGCGAACCGGCCGGCGACAGCAGCTGGATCTGCGCCGAGGCGGCACTGGCCGGCGTCGCATCGAGTTCTCGCTGTTTGGCGTTGGTGTTTGTTGTAGGCAGGAGAAAAGGAAAACGACAGCTGTGAGATTCGAACTCACGCGGGTTGCCCCATTAACTTAGCAGGCTAACGCCTTAACCACTCGGCCAAGCTGTCATCGTGCGCAATTCGAAAACCACCGTTTTCCGACCAGCCACCCTCACCTATCCAAACGCACACACCGCCCCCGCCACATACACACACACAGCTTCCAGTGGCCGGCTTCGTGTATTCTGCTGTTTCTGCAGCTCTATCTTATATAATCATGGTACATCAACCGCCAGTACACCACCTCGAACGAATTGGGGGTAGGAAGAAAAAACAAGAACAAACGCATCGGCTTCGCGCTCAGCCTCGACACGCCTCCGTTCCCTCCCTTGTGTTTGTTGGGTAACGCTAACCTTTCGCCAAGAATGCCGCGACTCTTCACACTCGCAATCTACTCGACAAGCGGATGGGTAGGTAGATAGCACTCGGGTGGGTGGGCCTGGTCTTCCCTCACCTTGGTTTGCCGAGGTCGTTGTCAGTGGAGGCATGGTCGTCGCTGCTGTTCGTCCGTAGCACATATTGTGCATATCGTGCGCGGTCTTTGGCCGCAGCGCCCCTGCTAGTAGTGTCACGAGCCGCTACTACATTTGCATTGCGCGTGTGGTATTGTGACGCTCGACGATCAGGTTACGCGAATGTGCTGCTGGTGAGCGCGAAGGGAGTGCCGCGGGATTGGCGTAGCAGCAGTGGGGATTCATGTGGCGCCGCGATAGGTAGAGGACGGTGCGAGGAGGCCACTAGAGGCGGTAAAGCGAGCAAAGAGAGAGTGTGAAAAGGCAAAAGATGAGCCCCCAGGCGGGATCGAACCACCGACCTTTCGCTTACGAAGCGAGTGCTCTACCACTGAGCTATAGGGGCTGTACGGACACCAACACAAACAAACACACCAACACAAACAAACAACAAACAACAAACACACGCACAACAACAACAACAACAACAACAACAACTCGCAACACGCCACGCACCACACGACCCGCACGACCGCACCAACCACCACACATCCACAACAATACCACCAAAAGACACGGGGCAACACCACGCCGAGTCGAATCTTGGGGCCGCAATCTGTTTGCTCATGTGGGCCCTCTTCTGCATGCGATGCTTCCGTCTTATTTTGTATGTTGATCTCGACGAGAGTTCGTGGGCGGTGCTCAGCGTGGCGAGCTCAAACGCTCGTCGTGTCACGCAAAATGGAGCAGCGGGTTCGTTTTGTGCGGCAGGTTGCTGGTGTGGGTCCGGGGTTTGAGCGCGGTGCATGGGTCTGCGATGTGGCTGGTTTGCGTGTGTTTGCGTGTGTTTGCGTGTGTTTGCGTGTGTTTGCGTGTGTTTGCGTGTGTTTGCGTGTGTTTGCGTGTGTTTGCGTGTGTTTGCGTGTGTTTGTTGTTTTGTGAGTGTGAAAGTCGTTTTGGTGTCGGGGGAATAGCTCAGTGGTAGAGCGCTGGATTCCAGTCCCAGCAGTCGGGGGTTCGATCCCCTCTTCCCTCATCCTTTGCGCTTTTTTAGCGCCCGACGCCCACCTTTTCGCTGCGCCACAGCCCCCTTCGCAGCCGCCACTACTCCCTCGCGCCAATCAACCAGCCAGTAAAACGAACGAGACGACAAAAAGTGCGATACTTCTCGATTTATGCGTGTCATCCTTGCGCAGGGGCCATGCTAATCTTCTCTGTATCGTTCCAATTTTTACGGATGACCACCGAAGTGGTTCCTGCCACTACTCGCGCTAGACTCCTATACGTGCGAG